TGGAATTGAACTCAGGACCTTCTTGCTGTGAGGCAACAGTGCTAACCACCGTGCCACCGTACTGCTCGAGACAGTTTGTATATAAACCAATAAAGTTAGTCCCCCTCAGCACGCGCACACACACACACACACACCAGAAATTGGTTTGTTGCCTCAGGACAATAAAGTGTTTTAAGTGTAACAAAATGACAGTAAATTTATGAGAAAACATCTAATTGGTTCAAAATTTTTATTTTAACAAACAAGCTGGTTTTCATATAATTGTTTAGTAACAATGAAATAATAGACTGCTTTTTATAGCACTTCCTACATTCACACTCCAGTGAAGCAAACTGGGTTCAGGAATACTTTGGCACACAGACCACCAAACACTAACTCAGCAGATGATTTGTTTATGAATGACTTGGCTGTGGCTCAGGTCTGTGCCTGGGCTAATACACCTGTGTGACACCACGCATGACGCATACATCTGTATCTGCAGTTGTACAAGTTTCTGTGTGTCTGTGTCTGACGGCTCTGCGTGGAACGACATCCTGGCTCCTTACATCACAGTGTCCTCTAAAGACACACACAGACACACACGATCTCCTAACTGTTCTTTAGACATCATTCTGGGATCTTCTCTTACTCGCTGTCACTCTCATCCATTTGACATTCCTCACCAAGGGAGTGACCCGAACTATATCAAACTCTTTCCTCCCTTAAACTGTTCTTGTGCCCATTTTCTGTTTCCACATGAAGCCAACAGCATTCTTGCTTATGTATTCTTGTTGTCCAGGTGTGAGAGTACACAGTGAAGCGCTGTGGGTACAGCATCCTGTGGGTACAGCATCCTGTGGGTACAGCATCCTGTGGGTACAGCATTGGTGAGGATCCAGTGTGGGGGAAGCATGTCTTGAGGCTTCTCGGATGAGAGGTGAAACGTCTTCAAGCAACTTAAAGAAGTCCAGACGCATTTCTTTCCAAGCTCCTTAGACTACGATGACCTGGATGACTGAGAACCTTCACAGACATATTAGTTCACTAAGCCACTAAGTTAAGCTTAGCGAACAGAAAGTTCGGATTGGTCCCAGTAGAAACTAGAAACAACCACAGCCAGAAACCACTTCAAAATTATTCTTCTGTAGGGGAAGCCAATCTAAAGTCAGCTTGGCCATCGTAGCTGTGAGAGAAAGATGGCAGATATGTCTGAACATACATGTTTGAAAAAGGATAACTAAGGATAAAAATGTATAAAAATGTATGCATCAGTTGATCTGAATACCTTTTAGTTTTATATAGATGATCACTTCTATGGGCATTTTAACCCAGGAAGCACTCTCAGTCAGTCTTTCTTTCAGCTCTGAAATGTCAGTTACAAATGACAAATAAAACACTAATCTTCCCCGATTAGTCCTGACGTCACCAGCCTGCTCACTGAGACAGGCTCCACACATGAGAAACTGCTTTACCTTTAAATCAAAGTATTATTATAATAATGTAAATGAGTAAAACTAATGTATAACCCGTCAGAAATGTATCCTGGTTTTCTACAGTTAAACTAAACTCAGATATGAAAGATTTGAATACATGTGCAAGCTTCTGTTTCCACCACCAGTCACTGTGCTTGGAGACTAAGTTCTGACTCCAGCTCTATACCTCCCTGATACAGAGCTCTGTATTTTTCTTCTTCCTGTTCTCCCAGAAACAAAACATGAAAGCCTCCCTTTAACTACACAGGAGAAAGAAAGCAGGGAGGAAGTAGGAAGAGGAATATGTAGAGAAGAGAGGATGGATGCTCCTGATTACCTCTCCATCTGTCCCACACTTTCCCCTGTGCAGCACAGCTTTTACTGCAGTGTGGGGAAATCTGCCTGCAGGGGAGTAAAACATGGGAGCGTCCCTCCCCTCCACTTCTCCTTTAACACCTGTAAGTTGTCTCTGTGCCCCCACCAGTCTCCACTGTTAGAGGCTACAAACAGTGGTGAAACATCCAAAATGTTGTTTCCTTGCTGTTTCCAAAGTCGGTACATGGATATCTGTCATTTCTCCAGTTTACCAAAAGAATCCAGCTCTCGAGTTCAGTGAACTCGAGAAGATGCACCTCTCGTTTGTACATGAGTGTAGACCGTTGTTATGGTGACCCTTATACAGACGTTGAAATGCATTACAGTTGTAACACACTCACTCTTTGTTTTGCCACGATGGTCTTTATGTCTCTGTGTGTGATTATGGATTAAACACACCTTGTATTTTAGAGGTGATCCGTCTCCTGCTCCCAGCTCTTGCAGATGATTACCTCACCTGTGAATACCTGTGTGATCAGCAGCTTCCTACTTAAGCTGGAGGACGGCACCTAATAAATACCTCATTGGGTGTTCAGCACATGCACAGTGGCAGTAATGTCTGTTCTGTGCAGGAAACTGGACCCTGTGAGTAAGACACAACGGCTCCACGTTAAGTGCTCAGCTAGTGCTAAAAGTGCCTGTCTGTTTACAGGTTTCTGTACATGAACCACAGAAGAAACACTGTAGACAAACAGCTTTGCAGTTTATACGAGGATGTTGAAGCTAGTTGAAGACTAACATCTAACCTTAGTAGAGCTTGACTGTTAGAAAAGCACTTTCTGCTAAACGATCGTCGTTCTCACTCGGATTCATTCATTTGTCTTGAAAAGGTGTTTTATTTTTTCCTGCTTCAAGAATAAATGCTTTACTCGCCTTTGACTTCAGCACTGTGAATGACCTTCACAAAGCCTGACTAACTGTTGCTCACTTAAATGGCACAGTCTGGCACCTTTGGATCCTCTTGGAGCGATTCACGGCTGTGTTTTCTATGGAAACTTGTTTATTAAATCCGCGGACATCGCGACCATCAGTCCGCTTAGCCTCTATGAAAATAACCTTGAAACAAATGTGCCATCAAGATCACAGCGAGGTGTATGAATGTGAATGCGAGACATGTGACGGAGGCAGGTGAGCCTCGCAGGTGATGCTAATCCTCCAAGAAGAGTGAATGCAAACGTCCCCTCGCTCTTACATAAAATCTCAGCGCACTCCACAGGAACTGTCCACTCATTCCAGTCGCGCGGGTCACATGACCCACACAATTCATTGTGACCTCCTCCCGACTCAACTCTCAGGACGAGGAATGTCGCCGCATTGACGCTGCGTCACGTCCAGTTTGACCAAGGCGTGGGTTGCGTAACGGCGTGGAAAACGCCAAGCGGAAGTTCTTAAGCCAGATATGGATTGGTGGGTGGCGCCACTACGCCAGAGCCGTTGGATGGGAGGGCTCCGCACTAAACACGTGACTAATTTGATGCTGCATTCAGGTGGTTGTCATAAAACAATACAAATGTAGCTTCATTCTCTCAAACTAAATGCAGCAGGCGGAAGCTAAAGAGAAGAAGCATCGTCTGTGTGTAACGACAGCACACAGGTAGTCCGGTGGAATACAGACTCTATGGACTGCAGTAGTGAACGTGGGGAATATAACGTCTGACTCACATGATCACAGGCCGGATTATAAACTACTGCCGTGACGAAGCATCGTGCCGTGGTCGCTTTTGTTTGGTTTCTTATTTCAACTTATCGCCGTTTCTTTGGGTGCTCAACTTAACTTAACTTGTATCCGACGTCAGTGAAGGCAACAGAGCTTCCAAAGGCCACCGTGAGACGGCGTCACCCCGAGCGAGAGAGGCCGGTGTTTGTTTGTGGTGCCAGGACAAAATGCTGAATCCGCAGAGGTCTCTGTCGGAGCTCCCGAAGACGTCGACGGCCAGTCAGGTGGAGCGCGTTGTGCTGGTAAGCTGCTCAGCCGTCGCGTATTTCGCACCATTGCACTAGCAAACAGCGCTGTGACTGAAAGGCTGCTGGTGCTTCCCACTGACTCGTCTGTTATTGCACAGAGCTGCCCACGGTAGCTGTTAGCCCCGCGCGCTGTCATGTTACTGTGACATTGTGGTTGACGGTCAGTGGGCCCATGGCAACGGCTCACTGACCGTCACCGTGAGAGCGACAGCTGAGCCCGAGCCTTCTGTTTGCTGCTGACTACCGATGACAAACTGGACCTAAACGTTTTCCCTGCAGGGCGGGGGTCGTACTGTTAAACACGGCATCAACACGCGTGTAAATGTCACAGAGTGTGTCTCTACGACAGCAGGAGGGAATGATCTAATATGGCTGTGAACAGATTCAGCCATGTACTGGTAAAACCGTCTGCTTGCCAGTAACAACCAATCACAATTAAGCTCCCACTGTCACAGCTGGCTGACGGTCCACAGCTGGCTGACGGTCCACAGCTGGCTGACGGTCCACAGCTGGC